TCATGATGGCATATTACCTTTTTAAGTCAAAAACAAGTGGTGTGGGTTTGTTCTCTTAGCAGCTTGTTCTGGAACTGCTGAAGAGCTTATGGCGAAAAGTTTTAAAGTCAAGACAAGATCAATGAATTATCAAGTTAAATCAAAATTATGCAAACAAGGGCTTAAATTATATTTGTTATGAGGAATTTCTGTAATTCCAGCATTTTACATAATTAGACATTGATACATGTCCTAGTTAAGGGTTTTAATGAGGTGGTTATAGCAACTGAGAAGGCTTTATCACGCCATATACACCGAGGATCAGGTGGGTCATTAACGTTATTATCATATAGCCTATCTAAACGTACAGTGAAGAGTATAACACATGTAAACTTAAATTAAATAACAAACAATTACGGTCACTCCCCTATCTTCTCATCCACTAGCTGCTGATTCCCCAATTCAACGGACCCACATATTAAGTCTTAATTGGCCTTAATCAGATCTATGAAATATGTGACACCACATTGTTCATTGAATGTCTTTAAGTGTGATCTTTACCTGTTCTACCAGAGTTCATATGAGTTCACCGGCATTTTGAAACAGAACCTGTAATCCATTTGCGGTTATTTTCTGCTAAAAGAATAGATCGAGCTTCAATTTGACATTGGATGTTTTCATACAAAAATGTACTTACTAGTGGGGGTGGCGGAAATTATGTTTTCTTTCCTTTCACTGAAAACCCACATGTATTGATATGGTCTTTATTTTGTTATGCATTGCTGAAAGAAATGATTGATAGCATCGTGGTAAACATTTCTATTAATTTATAAAACAAAAAACGTGCTACAAATGTTGGCGACATAATGGCGTCATAATTGATATGAAATGGTCCACGCCATCATCAATGCCACCTGGCTATATGATAATATATAATAAATAACAGGTTAAATAATAAGGTGGAATATTTTTTGCTGATAAGAACCTAATTTGCATAATTACAGGAAAATGCCATGCATGACGCCTCTGTGGTAAATGTTTGTAGTTTTATAGTTAAGGTGTCCTCCCTGGCTAATTTGGCATTTTAGCTTTCCATCATTTTCAAACAAAGAAATTTAGAAAGAACTATAGTTTGTACTGAATATTGCTACCTGGGTACAAAAGGGTTATGAATATGATTTTTTTGACCATATGGATGACGTCATCACATTTTATTGCCCCAAATGTAATTATCTTTAAAGTTATAATATAGCACGTTGGTACAAGTAACTGAAATAAAAGTATGATTTTTATGTGCATAATTGTCAAAGCTACAAACGTACGTTTGCACAAATTGATATCTACTAATTATCCGTAGTTATCAGAGAATAACCTAATTTCCTAATTAAAATTTAGTTATTCTCTAATAAATACGGATATTTAGTAGATATCAATTTCTGCAAACATACGTTTGTAGCTTTTACAATTATGCACATGAAAATCATACTTTTATTTCAGTTACTTGTACCAAAGTGCTATATTATAACTTTAAAGATAATTACATTTGGGGCAATAAAATGTGATGACATCATCCATATGGTCCAAAAAATCATATTCATAACCCTTTTGTACCCAGGTATCCATATTCAGTACAACTACAGTTCTTTTAAAATTTCTTTGTGAGGAAACGATGGAAAGCTAAAATGCCAAATTAGCCAGGGAGGACACCTTAAGACAGGTGCAATTTTGTTAACAAAATTAAATCATATTTAATATGTCAGTGTAGAGGTCATTTTCATATTCAACGATGAAATGTTGATATGAAAAAAATGCCAAAGGGTAGGTATCTAACTTTAAAATTTTTTAGTTCAAAAGTTTAGCTAAAAGGAATAAATGAATATTTTTTATTATTCTAATTACAACACCGTTTCCAAAATAAATTGTACATTTAATGAAAAAAATTACGAAGTCTTTTAGTATTTTATCGATGTATTAGGTTTCCAAATTGTTTTTTTCGTCGGTACTCTTCGGGATTTGTACGTGTTTTATTTGAACGACGCGGCATTTAATGCAAGGGAGGAAATTTATACAGCTTTCTTCCTTTAGGCAGTACTGCAGGCCGATGCTGGGATCCCGGTGTGCCGACCAATGGGACAAGAGATAACAACAGTAACTTCACATCAGGACAGACAGTCAGGTACACCTGTATGGCCGGGTATCATCTGTTGGGAACTGCCAATATAACCTGCCAGTCTAACGGAACATGGAGTGATGCTACACCAACTTGCGAAGGTATCAATAAAATATAGTAAAAAGTTCTAAAACAATCTTCATGCTTGCACTAAGACTTAACTTTAAGTTGTCACCTCGGCAAAAAGTACCTGTCAAATTCGCAAGTTCCCTTTAGCAGTATAGCAGGAATAAGTCTCACACACGGATGGCAATGTTTCAAGGAACATAATGATTGCTCCTGATTATGTTTCCCTTATCTAACCTGAAAGTGATCTTATAATATTTTAATCATAACAAAATCAGCTTTAAATCGCTTGATGCCACAGGAAGTAGAGATAATCCGTGCTTTATGTGAAGCTGCATGTATTATCTTAATAGTATAAAATTGCAAACATATCTTGTAGAAAATCTTGTAGACAATGTCAGTGGCAATTAATGTATCTACGTGTATTCAAAAACAACACCGCAAAAAGTAAACAACGCCATTAGATAAATTTTAACATTATCATAAAAAGACACCTGCTTGATTATACACCAGCAGGACCCTCTAGTTTAAACACCACCTGTAACATGCCGCCAAAGTTAGACTGGCGTATTAAACCATCAGCTACAAATTTTACACCGGCCGGGCAGTTAATTCACAACTCGATTACAGATAAAAGCAACACAATAGCAGAAACGACACATGTTCAACAAGGACGATCTATCCTCCCCTATAAGTGATCTTGTTACATGACACGAGAAATATAAGAGTTAACCCGTCATTTCCATGCTGATTTTAAAGGTAAATTTTCGGAATTAAACATGTCCAAATGTCCAATGCCTTTTAGGTTTATGAGTTTTAAGTGTTCAACCCGGAACGGTTTATTACAAACTTCGCTAGTAAGTCATTATCTTTCTTCACATGCCATGAGTAAAACAACAGGTCAATGACCCCTTCGCCACTAGCGTGATTTTTGAATGTTTTTTTTAATCATCGCAATTTTAATCAACACTATCAATAAGGCAAAGAGAAAATATCATGAAGGCAAATGTTAATAACTCTTCGGTAAAAGTAACCTTTATCCTGCTGCATATCTCGTTTCCCTTTCTGCAGTACACATGACGGGCCCCTCTGGAGGCCCTGTGACTTCACCAAATTATCCCAGTAACTATGGCAACAATGAAAACGTCAGGTGGTTGATCACTGTGCCAGAAGGAAGCATCATTCGTCTCACGTTCGCCAGGTTCTCTACTTGGAGTTCTGACTTTTTGACCATCTACGATGGAGCCAATGATGATGCTCCAGAGTTACGAAGGTGATGCCCTTAGCACATATCCAACACTTTCCAAAGGACTCCACTTAACTATTTCAAACTTCGTGCATCTAGTAATGGTGATGATCGATTATTCGTGGTTAGTCGAGCCACTAGTCAAAAACTTTAGTTTCATTATTTAGAACGGAAAAATATAGGCCATAATATTACAACAGTTTCTGTAAATGTTGATCGTTAATTAATTATACATGTTCAGGTTATCAGGTTACCATCGACAAATCAGCCCCATCTTCAGCACATCTAACACGATGTTACTGAGGTTCACATCTGACGGCAGTTACACCCGTCAGGGGTTCCAGTTCTCCTACATAAGTAAGGTCTCTAATTACAATACGTCATTTCTAACAATAACCATGTGCTGTTTAATATGAACTGCTCTTTTGTCTGTGTAAAAAAAATCCGCATACGTTGATGAAGGTTAGACTTCCAGGTAATACGATACGCCCAAAAGCAGTTATTCAAGCAACTGGATATGATTTTCCAAAATCATATCCAGTTGCTTGTCGATGCGTAACTGCTTTTGGGCGTAAATTTCCGCATATTTGTGGCGGGTATTAGCCTCTACTAGGGTCGCCCACGGGTCGCCAATTGGATTCTCTCTGACAGGCTAACTTTTTTGGTGCATTAGTCATTTTTTTTCGGCCAGATCCTACTATTTTTTAGCGACGCGTGTTGCTTGTTAGAGGCTACCCGACATAACTTAAGAAGGCCTTTATACGTTGTGATGGTATTTCATACGATCTTAGAAAAGACCAAGGTCAAAGTCAAATATGGTTCTCCTCGTGACTGATCTTTGTACTGCAACAGAACTTGCAGTTTTGTCATATTTCATCTTGTATATGTTATTGTACTGACTTGGTGATCTTTAACTAGGAAGATTAACTTTTTAAGTTAGGAAAAAGTGGTTTAGGTTTGTTCTCCCTTGCATCTTCATCTTTAAGTTAACTTTAAATTGTGCAAAAAAGGACTTACATTGCATAAGTAATGATGAATTTCTGTAATTCCAGTATTTTACATAATTTGACTTTGATACACCCACCGGTTTATAAAAAATGACAGGTGGAATATTTAGATATAATAATTTTGCTAATAAGAACTTATTTGCATATTTACACGAAAATGCTATAAATGTATACTAAAGTAGTAAATGTAGTATTATAAAAAATCAACATCATCTTTATGTCAGTATGGAGGTAACTTGCGCAATCAATAATTAAATGTTAAAATGAAAAAAGGGTAGGTATTTCACTTTGTAAATATTTGTAAGTTCAGTTGAAAGGCATTGAATTCAAATGGTTTGCTAATTACAACACCGCTTCCAAATGAACTTATACAAATAAAAAAAAATACAAAACCTTTACGAATTCATGGATGTATGTTTCTAAATTGTTCTTTTCAATGCAACTCTTTAGGATTTGCATGTGTTTTATTTGAATAATGCAGCATTAACTGCAAGGGAGGAAATTCACACATCCTTCTTTCTTTCAGGCCGTACAGCAGACGAATGCTGGGATCCTGGTGTGCCGACCAATGGGACAAGAGATAACAACAGTAACTTTACATCAGGGCAGACAGTCAGGTACACCTGTATGGCCGGGTATCATCTGTGGGGAACTGCCAATATAACCTGCCAGCCGAACGGGACATGGAGTGATGATACACCAACTTGTGAAGGTAATAATAATACATCATTGACATCGAAATTAGATTATCTGGTTTTACTGAATACACACATAACCGATAAGGGTCTACTTATGCGGCATTAGCCCTCTAAGGCATAAGTCTATCTGACACACTGATGGCAATATTAAAAAAAAACATAATGATTGTTCCTGCTTATGTTTCCCTCATCTAGCCTAAAGATCTTACTTTACTTTACTTTATCCTTCCACTTATGCCTGGTGGGGCGTCGCGGGGAGTTGTAGTTGACGTTCCACTGCCAGGTGTGTGGCGTCACGGAGTGTCATGCCGTGTGCGCTGAGGGTCTCCGCTACTCCGTCTATCCATCGGCGGCGCGGTCTCCCTCTGGCGCTTACTCCTGAGTGCCTGGCGGTGTAGGCCCTTAGGGCTGGTTTGGTGGTCGGCATTCTCATCAGGTGACCAAAACATTGAACCCTTTGTTTGGTAATAAACTGGAGAACTGGTTTGTTGCCAACCAGCTGTCTGATGACTTCGTTTCTGACCCTGTCCCTCCTTGTCTTCCCTGCTGCTCTTCGAAGATACATCATCTCGCAGCTAGTGAATTTTCTCTCCTGTGCTTTGCTGAGAGTCCAGGTTTGGCATTGGTAAGTAAGGATGGGTAATGAAGATGGAGTTAAACAGTTTGGCTTTGATGTCCATTGGCATACTTGGGTGTTTTAGGAGGGGTGCCAGTTGGTAGCTGATGGAATTTGCTTTCTGTATACTTGTCTCTATCACTCTGTCCATCTTTTCGTCTTCAGTTAATATGCTTCCCAAGTATTTGAACTCTGTGGTCTGCGTCAGAGGTTGTCCACTGACAGTGATCTCCAGTTTCTCAGGGCAGCGGCCGACTGATATTGGCATTGCCTCTGTCTACCCAATGCTGATCTTCATGTCGTGAGATCCACAAGCTCTGTTGAGATTGCCTGTGTGATGCTGTAGCTGGACCTTGCTTTCATTAAGGAGACCTTGGTCGTCGGCAAAGAGCAACTCATTCAGGGATACTGGGTCAGGGTTAGCTTCATTTGTGATTCTGTCCATGTTAACTATAAAGAGTAGGGGGGGGCACATCCCTGCCTCACTCCAGATCTTACCCGGAAACAGTTGGAGAGACCACTGCACTCTGACTGTTGAAGTATAGTGCTCTTATGTTCTCTAGCAGTTGTCCTTTTACACCATACTGTTCTAAGATATCCCAGAGTTTGTTCCTGTTTACCCGGTAAAACGCTTTTTCCTGGTCTACAAAGATGAGGTGGATGTGCTTTGGTACCTCGCAGGCCTTTTCACTTAGTGCGAAGATTGCGTCCGTACAGCCTCTCCCCTTCAGGAAGCCAAACTGCGCTTCGCTGAGCAGCGGGTCAACGCGTACGATAGCTCGTGTGCGTTGTTCGAGGATCTTTGCCTTCGACGAGAAGGCTATAAAATCGTTTTGCACTGTTTGGCAGATTATGCACGATAAATTTTGAAGGCATGGTCCTAGGTTTACGATTTTTGGCAGGCAGATTGTCTTGGTAATGGGCATTGTCAAGGCCAAAAATGGGTTTTGTGGGGGGTTCTTACGTGATTGGGGCTGATCTTTTGTGTTTTGTGTATCCCAGAGTTTGTTCCTGTTTACCCGGTAAAACGCTTTTTCCTGGTCTACAAAGATGAGGTGGATGTGCTTTTGGTACCTCGCAGGCCTTTTCACATAGTGCAAGGATTGCATCCGTACGGCCTTTCCCCTTCCGGAAGCCAAAGTGCGCTACGCTGAACAGCGGGTCCACGATAGCTCGCTCGTGTGCATTGTTCGAGGATCTTTGCAAATGTTTTTCCTGTGTGGCTTATGAGTGAAATACCTCGGTATGTGCTGCATTCTTTCTTATTCCCTTTCTTCTTCCATATGTAACGAGTACAGAAACGTGCATGCCGGATTATCTTGGGTCAGAAGTATACAGACTACACCACGGGGCTGCAGATGTGCAAACTTGAAACACTCGAGAAGAGACGGGCGGTCCTCTGCACCAAGTTTGCACACAGCATGACAACATCGGAGCGCACAGCTGATCTCCTCCCCAACACACGGCGACAGGAGCACGGCAGGAACCTTAGAAACTCTAACAAAATGACCACTGGCGCCTTGCCGCACTGACTAGATTTCAAAACAGCCCTGTACCGTCTCTACTGAGTCTGCTTAACACGAACAAATAATACGTTGTAAATCAACCACACTCAGATGTTTTGTTATTGTAATATTTTATTTCAATCGACATTTAAATACTATGTAATATTTTATACTATTCGTCATATTGAGTTGTGTCCTATGTAAGTAAAACGTACTTTCATGTACTATGTAAGTAGAACGTATTTCAGCCTGACGGGCTGCAATGTTTTACCTAATAAACCAGTCATTCATCCAGTCATACATTCATATTGGCACTACGATTGATTTCCGCCAGTCCTCTGGCACACATCGTTCCACCCAAACTTTCTTGAAAATGCCAGCCTGAAGATAATCTTATTATATTTTAGTCAAAATCAGCTTCAAATCGCCTAATATCACAGAAGGTAGAGATAAGCCGTGCGTTATGTGAAGCAGCATGTATTACCTTAATGTTTTACAATTGCAAACACATCTGTCACCAGATTGTCTACGGTTGTCATATAAAGAATGGGTAGTTTCCAAGCGCAAAGTAGAGAGTTTTTATTAAAGAGGTTTAAACCGTAAATGTAAAGAGATCAAAAATCCCCTTCATGCACACACTAAGGCTAACCTTAGGTTGCCACCACTGCAATAAATACATGTCAACATCCACAAGTCCGGCAGAAGTATCAAGGGCAGTTGTATGTGGTAAAACCATAACTTTCTTTTCTAAAACTTGGAGACAATGTCAGTGGCAATAAATGTATCTACGTGTATTCAAAAACAACACCGTAAAAAGTAAACAACACCGTTAGATAAATTTTAACATTATCATAAAAGGACATCTGCCTGATTATACACCAGCAGGACCGTTATAGTTTAAACACCACCTGTAACATGCCGCCAAAGTTAGACTGGCGTATTAAACCATCAGCTACAAATATTACACCGGCCGGGAAGTTAACGTTCACAACTCGATTACAGATAAAAGCAACACAATAGCAGAAACGACACATGTTCAACAAGGACGATCTATCCTCCCCTATAAGTGATCTTGTTACATGACACGAGAAATATAAGAGTTAACTCGTCATTTCCATGCTGCTTTTTAAGTCAATTTTCGGAATTAAACATGTCCAATGCCTTTTAGGTTTATGAGTTTTAAGTGTTCAACCCGGAACGGTCTATTACAAACTTCGCTAGAAAGTCATCATCTTTCTTCACACGTCATGAGTAAAACAGCAGGTCAATGACCCCTTCGCCACTAGCGTGATTTTTGTAATGTTTTTTTAATTCATCGCCATTTAATCAACACTATCAATAAGGCAAAGAGAAAATATCATGAAGGCAAATGCATATCTCGTTTCCCTTTCTGCAGTACACATGACGGGCCCCTCTGGAGGCCCTGTGACGTCACCAAGCTATCCCAGAACTATGGCAACAATGAAAACATCAGGTGGTTGATCACTGTACCAGAAGGAAGCATCATTCGTCTCACGTTCGCCGGGTTCTATACTCATAGTTCTGACTTTCTGACCATCTACGATGGAGCCAATGATGATGCTCCAGAGTTACGAAGGTGATGCACATATCCAACACTTTCCAAAGGACTCCACTTAACTATTTCAAACTTCGTGCATCTAGTAGTGGTGATGATCGATTATTTTGTGTTAGTCGAGCCAGTAGTTAAAAGCCTTAGTTTCATTATTTAGAACGGAAGAATATAGGCCATAATATTAAATAGTTTCTGTAAAATCTTGATAGTAAATTCATTATACATGTTCAGGTTATCAGGTTACCATCATCAAATCAGCCCCATCATCAGCACATCTAACACGATGTTACTAAGGTATACATCTGACGACCGTTACACCCGTCAGGGATTCCAGTTCTCTTATACAAGTAAGGTCTTTGATTACACTTCTCACTTTAAACCGAACTGCTCGGTAGTCTCTGTGCACAAAAAAAAAATGTCTGCATTATTTTTGTTGCCAGCATTAGCCTCTACCAGGGTCGCCCACGGGTTGCCATTTGGAGTCTCTCTGGCCGGCTAACTCTCCTGGTTTATCAGTCCTTTATTTTGGCCAATTTCTACTATTTTTCAGGCGACTCGCGGTGCCTGGTAGAGGCCAGTCGGCATAACTTTAGAATACCTTTATAAATTGTGATGATATTTGATATGTGAGTAGATATTGGAAAAAAAACAAGGTCAGAGTCAAATATGGTTCTCATTGTGGACTGATATTTGTACTGCAACACAACTTTCAGTTTTTTGCATATTTCATCCTGTAAATGCCATTGTCCTGATTTTGCAACCATTAATTTGGGAGATTAACTTTTCAAGTCAGAAAGAAGTGGTTTGGGTTTGTTCTCGCCTGTAGATTCATCTGTAAGTTAAATTGAGATTTTGCAAAAGGACTTACATTGCATAAGAAATGATGGATTTCTTTAATTCCAATATTTTAAATAATTAGACTTTAATACATGTACTACCATATGGTTAATTTTGCTAATAAGAACTTAATTTGCATAATTACACGAAAATGCTATAAATGTATAAGACACCAAAGTAGTAAATGTTTGTAGTTTTATACTTTAGACTGTAAGTTAATATAAAATAAAATCATTTTAATATGCCAGTGTGGAGGTGACGTACATAATCAATCATGAAATGATAAAATAATAAATTCCGGAAAAGTTTGTATTTCACGAATAAATATTTGTAAGTTCAGTTGAAAGGCAATAAATTCAAATTGTTATGCTAATTACAACACCGCTTCCAAAAGTAATTATACAAATGAAAAAAAATACAAAACCTCTACGTATTTCATTGTTGTTGATGTTTCCAAATTGTTCTTTTCGTTGGTGCTCTTTACGCTTTGCATAAGTTTTATTTGAAGGATGCAGCATTAACTGCAAGGAAGGAAATTCACACAGTCTTCCTTCTTTCAGGCCGAACAGCAGACCAATGCTGGGATCCTGGTGTGCCGACCAATGGGACAAGAGATAACAACAGTAACTTTACATCAGGACAGACAGTCAGGTACACCTGTATGGCCGGGTATCATCTGTGGGGAACTGCCAATATAACCTGCCAGTCTAACGGGACATGGACTGATGATACACCAACTTGTGAAGGTAATAAAAATGCATAATTAACATCAAGGTTAGATTATCTGGTTTACTGAATACACACATAACCGATATGTGGATACTAATACGGCATTGAGTCCTCTAAGGAATTAGTGAATTATTGTATTCGAAAAGAGAAAATTCCAATTTCTTCGAAGTGTTGTTTGTCCCATGGCTGTTTTATTGCTCTGGCTTCTCAGCATTTCTCAACATCGAACACACCGACGATACAAGTGCGCTACAATAGAGGCAGCCTGAGGCACGTATTCCAGAGCAAGAAAACAGCCACGGGACAAACAACACTTCGAAGAAATTGGGCTTCTCTTTTCACATTGTGTAATGACATATCTAATTGTCTAATTGGTCTAGAACAATAGATGAGGTCATGTAGTAGGCCAACTAAGGTCAGTGCACCTCGACCTGCATGTAACTGCATGACAAGATCAGAGCACTTCGAACTTACGTAACTGATCAGGGCATTATGCACTGGAAATGTATATAAGTGAGAACTTCATGTTACTTGTGTGATTTAGCCTTTGTACACTTGAAGAAGCCACACATGCGAAACGGTCGTGTTGCAGGCTAAATAAAAGGTTCTAAACGGGAATTTTGCGGCTCCAGATGTCTTACTGAGGAAGGACTGTGTGTGCAAGATGTTAGCTGAGGAATGAATCCCCTTGAATTTACAGTGCTGTTGTCATCTGTAGTAAAGTCGCCTAAATAAATCTTTACGTCGACTTTTTCGAACCCAAAAATGTTCAAGTGGTGACAAAGAATCATACCGTGCTCGAGGAAATGGAGAAAACTAACCCTTGTTTCCTTGTTCTGTTCCCCTCCCTGTTCCGGTGTACAGAAAGTGCGAAATGGACCCAAATGGACGAAATTGAACGAAATGAAACGAAATGGGACGAAATGGAACGAACTGAAACGAAATATGTATAATAGAAGTACGTTGGAACGGCGACGTTAGTGTCCGCTCGACGTCCAACTTGGAACGACGACGTTAGTGTCCGCTCGACGTCCAAACCGCAACGTTACAAGATCGATCAGGGTACGTTAATAATAAAGTGACCACAACGTTATAAGATCGATCAGGGTACGCTAATAATAAAGTGAGTTTTGAGTTGAGTAGTCAAAGAGTTTTTTTCTTTGTGTAGTAACTTGTTGCGGCAATATTCTAGCCAAGCGTTGCCGATCTCGGAAACAACGTCCAGAGGAAATAATGAGACAACTACAGAATAAGCGTTAACTTCCGGGGATGTCCAGAATTATAAGATTAAACTTGTTGCGTTTTTTTAGTAACATGTAGTCTCATCAATGATTTTGGCTTATCGGCTTCCTCGAATTCTTGGCCGGTCAAGGGCAACCTCTTGGCCGCCGGTATCTTGAGTATTTTTACGTTTTGATCGCAACCGAATTACACAGAGAGTTAGGAACGATGTTGGTCTGTGTATATACCATCCCAGAAAATTATCATACCTTGCACCCACGCTATGTCGTGTTAGAATGTGTGAAATTAAAACAATTGAGGATCAGGTGAACTGCGCATATGAATAGAACAGTTGGCGGGAAAAATTCGCAGGGGGCAAACAGCAAGGTAAACATTCCTAGAGCCGGCCCACAAAAGTGTCAACCAATCATGGACAGTTGCCAATGGTGACAAGTGTGATTGACATCTTATTTTCATCAATATCAATTAGCTATGAGTGGGGATTTTCAGGGCCGTTTTGAACCACCGTGAAAAGTCAAAGTAGATAATTTTTGCCAACCGTCGGTAACAATGGCGGATCATTTGCATGTGGGGGAAAGAATTTAGCTCCGCCCCATGGCCAGCCAACACAGTAAAAGTTAAAAAAACGCTGTATAATAACGCTTGCCTCATGCACTTTTGGTGAATTCTGAAAATGAAATTTTACCGTCCAATCCTTAATTCTAGTCTTTACTTCCATACGCATCGGGTTATTAGCATAGCATATCGTCCAACACAGGTTTTGCACGCCGTGCCCAAATATTCAGGAAGAAATTAGCCACACAAACACAGGAATGAATAGGTTCAAGAAATAAAACACATCATATTATTTATTCACCACTCACTTCTGTACTTAAAATTTTGAACAGTTCCGTTTCTTATATTTTGCAATCTATTTCATTTCATTGTGCACATGTAAGGGACGCGGCTGGTGATAAAATTCCTCCCCGTGAGCATACCGATAGGACAGACAGAGACCACAAAGAAGCACACTCTGACTGCTCACCTCAAAACTCAATTTATTGGTACGTTATAACATGGAGGTTTTTTCAACCATGGAGGTAGAAAAGACCTCCATGTTATAACGTAACTTAAAACGTTGTGGTTACTTTATTCTTAACGTACCCCGATCCACCTTATAACGTTGCGGTCACTTTATTATCAACGTACCCTGATCGATCTTATAACGTTGCGGTTCTAAGAATACCATCAATCTTAACGTTGCCATCTGGACGTCGAGCGGACACTAACGTCGCCGTTCCAAGGCACAAACGTCTTAACGGCTTTACATATTTCGTTTCATTTCGTTCCATTTCGCACTTTCTGGATGGGGTCCCTTGTGTTCTGGGGGTGATTTTGAATTAGGGCGTTGAGGTGGTGCGTGTCAAAATTCACACACCGAACTGTTGTCTGAAACGACAATTCAGCGGTTTGCCGATTTTAAGTACCTAGGAGGTTACATTCAATTTGATAGTAGTCATGACATGGATGTTAGCATCGCCAAGACGTGGAGCGCCCTTCATTCAATACATAGAATATGGAAATCCTAATATACGCAAATGATATGTCGGAACACTTCGACCAGGTCCACGGAAAATATCATACGAAGGGTCCTATATCACCAAGTCAAGCCGCTAAGTAGTCTGTGTAACGCAAAATCTGCCGCCCGCGGCTTTAGTGGCCCCTCCCCACAGAGGGCCGGCTGGATGTTGGGCGGCCGACAACCGTAAAGTAATTTAATCAGGCTGGCCAATCACCATAAGAGAAAGAAATGTGATTCATTACTACTCATTTGTGGATAAATAGAAGCAGTTACGTATTCTTAAAAGACATATTAAGTTTATTTTGGATTTTGCTGTGTTATTCCAGCTGCAGGTTGCCCTGGAAGCTACTCATATCTTGCACACACTAACAGGTGTTACCGTGCCTATGGCAACCTGGAAACCTTCGACGATGCTTTGGTCGTGTGTCTAGCAGACGGCGGCACTTTGGCCATGCCTCGCGACAGCAAAACCAATGACTTCCTTATCGCTTTGAAAAACAATGTGAGCACGACCGAACTATTCCGTTTCGGGCTGCATCGTAAGGATGAAACATGGAATTACGTAGATGGCGGAGAGTTAAATTACACCGACTGGGCTGATGGAGAGCCGAATAATCAAGGTGGAAATGAACAGTGTGTCGAGTACTTCCCTTCATACTGGTTCAGCAACTGGTTTCAGTACAACAATACGAATAAATGGAACGACGGGACTTGTTCTACAAACGCAAGGTTCATCTGTGAAGCTGAGCATGGTAGGTCACGGAATTTGATGTTTGCGGAGGGGATGAACGCAATGTGTTTTTAGACACACGCTATAGCGCTAGGTTTCAGATTTATCATGTTAATGGCATCCGTTTCATTTAAAACTATGTATATAAATGTTGGTGAAGATTACTCATCCAGGGTGGTAATAAAATAATTGAGTAGTTTAGTCTTTTCAAACTTGATTGGATTTTTAATTGGTAGACGTTTCAGGTGTCGTCCGACACCTTTCATCAGTACAAATGAATGTTTACAGAGGAATTTACATATTTCTTGTTCCGTAAGTTGAAGTTGAGCAGTTTTTTTATCTTCATGAAAAATGGAGGTATTGTTTTTGGCGTCTCTCTCTCTTTCTGTCTGTGTGTGTGTGTGTGTGTGTGTTTCCGCACATTTCTTGTCAGCATAACTTCATAACACCTTTATGGATTGTGATGATATTTGGTATGTTGGTAAGGAAGACGAAGGTCAAGGTCAAACATAGGCCTCCTGATGGATGACCTTGGTACAGCAGCAGAACTTCCGGTTTTTGTATCTTTTGTCCTGAACATGCTATGGTCTTGAATTTTCGGTGACAGATAGATTTTCCTGTCATGAATAATTTGTGTGAATTTGGTCTCTCTTGCCGCTTGTTCTGGAACTGCAGGGGACTTTCTTGCGAAACCTTTAAATGCCAATAACTCCAGAAAGTATCTTTATCTTTTTGGTGTGTAGGTAGCTGAGAGAAAGTTGTACATAATTAAATGCATATTATGCAAATTAGGACTTAATTTGAAAAATTAAGAAGGAAATTCTATAAATACAGTGTTTTATATAATAGTACTTTTATACACTTATAGATCTATTTAATCTATGTCAGGCGAAACATCAACACATACCAAATTATGCAAATTATGACCTGATTTGCATAATTAATGTGAAAAGTCTATGACTCATTTGTAAATGATGGAGATTTTATACCTTGTGCCATGTGTAACTTCCTTAAATGTTAACACTACTATTCATATATTATGTTAACGTGGAGGTCATTTGCATAATTAATGAGAACCTGATGAAATAAAGTATGACAAAGGAGAGGATTGTACAAGAAAAATATTGTCATTTGAATTTAGAAAACCATAGATTAAACTAGATTATGCGAATTACGACCTTATTTCCATAGTCAATGAGACAAATAAAAACATTTATAGAAACTCATATAGTTAATGGAGGTATGAGATCTCCGATCTTTTTTTACGATTCCAGTCCCGCTGAAGATAAAAGGTGGACCAAAATTGGACATTTGAACCTTTTGGGAGCGCTCGTCCGAACCCCCACGAACCCACCTGTGTACGGGCATGTTATTACCTCCCACGTGCTCCATGAAAATTGGAGGTATCGTTTTTGGAGTGTCTGTGTGTCTGTGTATTTGTGTTTGTGTTTCCGCACATTTGTAGCCAGCATAACTTTTAAACCTTTTGATGGATTGTAATGATATTTGGTTTGTGGGTAGGTGTTGGGTAGGCAAAGGTCAAGGTCAATTTCGGGCCTCCTGGAGGCTGACTTTGGTACCGCAGCACAACTTCTGTCCTGGACAATGTATGGACAATGTATGGACAATCTATCTTGATTTTTAAATGGCGGATAGCCTTTCCTGACTGGAATAAGTGGTGTGGGTCTGGCGAAAGCTTTCAGAGCAGATTAATTCACAAAGGAAAAATGCATTTTCTTTATTTTTGTATGTGGGTAGCTCAGACAGAGATCTACATTATTGGATGCAAATTATGCAAATGATCTGTATCTGTATAGCCGGTATAACCGCCTTTGACTTCTTTTGCATACTTAATGAGGAAATTCTGTAATTCCAGTGTTTTACATCATTGGACTTTGATATATGTGATGTTTACAATCTATGGCAGGAGGAATATCACCAGATACCAATTATGCAAATATGGACCTAATTTGCATAATCAATCTCAAAATTCTATGACTCCTTAGTGGTAAATGATGGGAATTTCATACTTGGAACATGTGTAAGTTAATTAAAAGCTAACATCACGGTGTATTTATTATGTTTTTGTAGAGGTCATTTGCATAATAAAAGAATACATTTACATGTCAAGCCCATATTTCATGGATGTATGAGATCTCGGAACTCCTGTTTAGTTAGAATTAAACCTATAAATGTGGCATAAATTGGGTAGGTGAGAACTGGGGTGAAATATGCACTATGTGCTCACATGAATATCCTTTGCTAATTTCTGTATTTTCCTTTTCGTTATTCGTCCTTTTAGTACCACATTGGACACGATCTAAATAACATACGATACATATTGGCTGTTTTCAGACAAAATATTCCTGTAGATCTTGTGCCCTGGTCTTAATTTAACCCTTGTCCTGCTGGCAATTTTTACACAATATTTTCAAATAATTTCATGTCCTAATCAAGTCACAGACGCTTGACTTTTTTTGCCCTGCGGCGGCGTAGTTACTTCCGCATTCGTTGCGTTTCGCTGCGGTGTGATGCGTTGCACAAGAAACACCCCCAAATCGCACATACACAGGGCACTATATGGATGGTACTGTATGTGCAGCCCATATATATATGGGCCCCGCAGGACAAGGGTATTTACCTAACTTTGGACATGAGGGTGCCTACAGTGCACATGTATATATGACAACCAGATTTTATTGCAAATTTTGCGACCCCTCCCTTTTACACCGACAATGCGTATCATGGCGTATCATGAAAGAGTCAATTATTTACTAAGTGGCAGTGTTGTAGACTGCTTCATATTACATGGGGGTGCAATTGGAAGGGTTCATATCTTGCATAGGTGGAATAAAGTAAAATAGTATCTTTGATGACCAAAGCAACAAGGTATACGGTACGTATTTTTTTGGGACGGTTTGTATGATAGGTAAGGAAATTATACAATGGCCTTCTTTGTTGAGATGAAACTTTCAAACTTTGAAAAATTGCAATATTTTGTTATAAATCTTATTCTTTGCACAAGTTGCTTACTAGAATAGTAATAGATTAATTCATTCCATTGTACAGTGGGGCCAATAACACCAGTCACAACAACAGTCACAACAACAGAGCCGGCCACAACAACAACAGCCACAACAAAGACCGACAACAACAACAGTCACAACAACAGAGCCGACAACAACAACAGTCATAACAACAGAGCCGACAACAACAACAGCCACAACAACAGAGCCGACAACAACAACAGTCACAACAACAGAGCCGACAACAACAACAGTCACAACAACAGAGCCGACAACAACAACAGCCACAACAACAGAGCCGACAACAACAACAGTCACAACAACAGAGCCGACAACAACAACAGCCACAACAACAGAGCAGACCACCACAACAGTCACAACAACAAAGCCGACAACAACAACAGTCACAACAACAGAGCCCACCACCACAACAGTCACAACAACAAAGCCGACAACAACAGTAACAACAACAGAGCCGACCACAACAACAGTCACAACAACAGAGCCGACAACAACAACAGTCACAACAACAGAGCCGACAACAACAGAGCCGACAACAACAACAGCCACAACAACAGAGCCGACAACAACAACAGTCACAACAACAGAGCCGACAACAACAACAGTCACAACAACAGAGCCGACAACAACAACAGTCACAACAACAAAGCTGACCACAACAACATTACCAGTCAATCACATGACAACTCTTCTTTCAATTTCATCAAGCGCAAGTGGAACAATGGCTACAACAGCTGCGTAATGTTTCTTTCTTTCATTTTTCATCAAATCAGAGTAATTGACTGAATTGGTGAACGATTGAAAGAGTTTGTACATATATCGCTATGCCATTTGGGGCGATGGAACTACTCGAAAATATTGTTTGGCAATGCAAATAAAACCTTTTCCTAGCTACTTAATTTTCTGCCAAATTTTATTCCGACTTCTCTTCTCGTTGGTTTCGACATCCTTTCTACTATTTGACTATAAAGTGGCTTATATTCTATTGATCTGCTTTCAATTAGATAGAAAAATAAGAGAATTTGCCACTGAACTACTCTGCCCAAATCACGCACAGCACGCTACTTTACAAACGTGATACCTGCAAATGCTAATTTAAAGTGGATATCGCCCCCGGTCCCTTCAGAGAGAAGGTTGAATTGGGAGAACAGTTTAATTGTTGACAGAAGGAGTTAAATTGGTACTCACGACAAATTTTAGCTCAGAGAACATCGGCAGAACGTACTGCGCCTGCGCAGAACCCCTTATTTTCGCGTTTTTCGTTGGGTTTTTGGTCAACGTTGCATCAGAATTTTGCCTGTTGCAGATATAAGAGGATATTCTTTCCGACATAACATTTGGAAACTATTCACGGCGGTCTGTCACTACTGCATTCTTTCCCATTGCTAGGCGCGTTCTAAAAGGTATCGGGTTACAAGACGCTATTTTGGCCTATTTTGGACTACCCGTAAAATACTTGAAAATGAACAAAAAGGATTTAATGGTACATTTCGTCAAATTAAAATGAAATTATTGCCTTAACACCCTTTTAATATTAGCTGTTTATGTTAAATCATTGATTTTTCAAAATGTCGCTCCGAAAGACGTTTTTTTCCGGGTTTCCGACCACAAGTCATGCCATGTTTTAAGGCAAACATCGTTTTAACCTGGCTACGTATATCACCCCAGATCCCCGATTTGTATATTTTTCGACGACTACGAATAAGGTCAAAAATCGTGTTTTAGGGAAATTTTAATTTCTGATTTTAAGTCTAGTTTTTTTCGACATATTGATGAAAAAAATGATTATTTTTTACATTTTTCGTACTAAATTACCCATAATTCAAAATTGAGGCAATTTTTAAAAAATCCCTAAAACACGATTTTCGGGACAACCGTTACGGTCATTTTGGGCCGTAAATGGGGGATGTTTGACTCTCCATGCTTGCAGGTTAAAACGAGTTTTGCAGACATGTCATGTCCACCAAAAGTGTGCATTGCGTTATTCATACTGGTGTAAAGAATCATTACAGTATTCAAGGTCACCAAAGGATACGACAGTAGCTTCGCTACATGTTACATGTCCACAAAAAATGATAGCGGACATGTACTGTCCAGGAAACTGTTTTTATCTATAGAAAGGTGTTGTTTTTTATCTGTTGCAAGGCACGGAGGCAGAAAGGCTTGTTTTGCCGCTTTATTGTAAATGACCGCAGGTGACCCCGAAGAGAACGCGGGTTCGATTCGAATTGCCCAGATCGAACACGATCGAACACAGTTCGGGTTCTATGACATGTGGGAACTTTGCAGCCCAGATTTTACCACCGTGATTGTCGAAATGCTAACCTTATATGAGCGAATACAACCTTATATGAGACATTCTGTCTAAATGCTATGTACAATACATTACGGGTTTCGCGCAGGTGCAGTACGTTCTGCCGACGTGCTGCATCCGGCATCTTTCGCCAGCTCATAAGAGGGGTCAAGTGACCTAGGCTTCAAAGGTCGCCCAGGTCACGTGACTTGACGAGGCAGTTGTAGATCGTAGGGAGCCTGTGGCGTCTTTGGTCACGGTGGAGGGACGGGGAGCGAGACCTGATGTGCACGGCCTCCTTGACTCCTCGTTCGAACCATCTGCTTTTTCGGTCCAGAATGGTGACCTTCTTTCATTGTTTAAATGTTTCATTGTCACATAATGTACTTCGCGTGTATTCAAAATTTCTCCTTAGTTACAGACTGTGGATGTCCATTGCTGCCCTCCCATACTGAGGTTAGTCTGACCACAACGACCACTGGATCCGTGGCAACTTACCGCTGCAAGACGGGATTTCAGTTCGCGAACGGGACCACAACGCTTACCTGTGGCAGCGATGGGGAATGGAAGGGCACACTGCCAACTTGTGAAGGTATACAACGTTTTATAATTAATGTAAAATTCCTTTAACGGTCAGTGTTATAATGAAAAAAGTTTGCACAGTTACATTAGGTCTAACAATAACATTATAGGTATTAACTTACCGGTATATCTTTTGCTCTCAATCTTCAGCGATGACCCCCTGTATCCGGTTCTGTGGGTTTGGAAGCTGTTTTGTTAATGGCGACATTCAGAAGTGTGACTGCAACACAGGATACGGATTCTTTGGTCTTTCCCAGTTTTGCCGAGGTAAGCTCATAAGCATGTACTTTTATATACTACTTAAAAACTTGCCATTTTGTAAAATCGTCTGATTTCTAGATATTTCTAAGCCAAGCATGCCTTTTACTTTATGTCAATTTATCAGTTTTTAAGGAAGTTACGCACGTTACATTACGTTCTTTTGCAGATATCAATGAATGCGAAGACGGTTTGGACTATTGCTTGGGCCGGCCAGCCTGTGTGCCTAACGCGAGGTGCATCAACTCTCCGTACGGCTCGTACACGTGCCGGTGTCCCAGTGGTTATACTGGTGACGGGAGGACCTCATGTGAAGGTCTGTTACATCGTCATCATCTTACACTGCATAAAAAAATTGATCTACAGTCGAATCGTAGTCAATGCCAGTAAAGTTGACGGAAAGTGGATGGCAGATAAATATGAAAAGAGGAAACAATACATGACTATCATTTATTGCTTTATCTTTTACTTTGATCCCACTGAATCAAAACCACTTGTACAATGATTGAAAACTTTTATTTTATAGTGGCAATTGGCTGTTATAATAGTTGGCAGGATATTAAGCACAATCACAACAAGGTTTATGACGTCAAAATTTAAAAATGTGGGAATCTTGTTTTTTGGGAGCCCGCTTTTTTGTTTTTGACTTATCCCATTAGATTTGAAGTCTGTGGAGGATGCCATCCATACAATTTGCCTACTGTAGCCTAAAGTTTCTTCGGTAATGAGGACGGAATTTTTAAGCTCACCTGATGAAAAAATCGTTTATTTTCCAGATGAAGACGAGTGTTTGTCGGCTCCATGTTCCGAGTTTGCCAACTGCACCAACACAGCAGGCAGCTACACCTGTCAGTGTCTGGACGGATATGTGGGGTCTGGCACGGTTTGCACAGGTCTGTATAGAGGCCTTTTATAATCATTATGACCATAATTGAGATCATGCAAGGTAAAGTGCATTAAATGCGGTCATTGGCAGTTCAATGAAGGACTGAATCATACCTTTGGCTAAGTTGCTGTTCGTGAATGTTTAGAAATCTACTTAGTATTCATGCTCTATGAATTGTCAAATGTCAGACTTGGAACCGTTGGTACGAATCAATAATAGCAAATTAAAAGGTTTTCTCATGGCTGATGTTCACAAAAAAATTATTGTTCCTTGATCTAGAAATCAACGAGTGCAGCTCCAGCCCCTGTATCGGTGGAACGTGTGTGGATAGGATCAACGGGTACACCTGTACCTGTCGTGAGGGGTTTGCTGGGGAGAGGTGTGAAACAAGTGAGTGTTTTTGGTATCAAATATCATGAACGTTTCCTGCAGGCAAGCAAATGCACGGCGACTTTTACTAGGTCTTCTAAAACAAATCTACCAATAAAAATTCAAGTTCAAATTTAGCATGAAATGTCTTAACTTTAAAAGCAATATCGTAATTTTGTTTCTTAGAACATAAGATAATTCACGATATTTTGTCAAGAAACAGTGTATCTAAATACCTTTGACACATAACGACCATGATTATTATCAGTTACGAAAAAGGTTTTAACATATGAACAAATAACTTTTGAACGAATTTCATGATTATACGTATCGCTGGAGTAAAGCAGTATCTGATGGATATAGCAGTATTTAGATTACTCTTAATTTTTTCTAGATGTCAACGATTGTGAACCTCCACCCTGCCTCAACAATGGGACCTGTAGTGACAGGATCAACACCTACAGCTGTGACTGTGTGGACGGGTGGGAGGGAATCAACTGTGAAGACGGTAAGGTATTTCTCCAGTCATGAAGCGCGATTTTAACCCCGGGATCGCATTCTCCGAATTTGTATCTGTGCCACCTAGCAGCAGCATACAATAAAGTAGATTTGATTTATTAGACTGTATAAGACATATGATAGAGTACTGCCCTGAGGAAGCTCCAAACGGGCACAGAAATGTTTGTTAGGCACAAACTCCTGATTGTGTACAAAGAACTTTGTTATGATCAAATATATCTTATAACATCAGGGCATTTGGAACAATATTGTCTTACACAGTTCTTTGCTTCCAATGGTAAATTAATTTATGATATGGTATAGGACGATATCTTCAACGTGTGACGAGCACGAGAAGCAATTACTACAATCGTAACCTTTCCAATACCCAATTTGCCAAAATTTACAGCACAGTACTAAATCATTAATTGAGTGACCACTTAACAGTCATTACTTTTTCATTCACTCTCCCGGTGTTTAACTTATAATAAACTGTCCCTTACAAGAAAGGCGGACAGAAGTTCAAAAGTAATGCCACCCATAGTGATGTATGAAAAGAACGTGTCATTACCTCCATAAAAATGGAGGTATTGTTTTTGGCGCGTCTATGTGTGTGTGCGTGTGTGTGTGTGTGTGTATGTGTGTGTGTGTTTCCGCACATTTGTAGTCAGCATAACTTCAGAACGCCTTTATGGATTGTGATGATATTTGGTATGCTGGTAGGTCTTAGGAAGCCAAAGGTCAAGATCAAATATGGGTCTCGTGGTGACTGACCTTGGTACTGCACCAGAACCTTTGTATTTTCAGTGAAAACAGATGTGCCAGTTATGCAACAAGACACCAGATGTGAGGCAGCGCGCCTACCCGGTTTGATTGATGAGTTCTCCCTCTGCAATAGGCTGTGTACTGAGTTTGCCATACCTATTACAGCCTGACCTATTTCAGGCCGGCCAAAGGTGTTACTGTATTAGCTTTTTGTTAAAAACAAAAGCCTGTGTTATTTTGTTCTGTAGTGTAGTGTAGTGTACTGTGTGAAGACATTTACAAAACTCATATATTTCATGGAGGTTTGAGATATCTCCGAATTCTTGTTTGTTACTTGTTTTTGACAGACATGGATGAGTGCACGTCTCATCCTTGTCACCGGCATGCTGACTGTGGAAACACAAACGGCTCCTTCATCTGCACCTGTAAACAGGGTTTCCATGGAGACGGATTTGAATGCACCGGTAAAAAAAACATACTGCATTATTGACACAAACTGTTTTCAATGATACCATCCTCTAGGATTATGAATGAAAAAAAAAGGTTTTTTTTCAAGAGTCACAGCTTCGTTGTGTTCCATATTTCGCTATATATTAATAATGTATTTATTTCATAATGTAATTTACCAACTCAGATGAACTTTCATGCTGAAGTATTTATTTCGTTCACATTCACACAGATGTTTGTTTTATGGTAGGGATTTATGTTTCTTTTTCACTTTGTGTTTTTTTTGCCCCAACAGAAACTGATGAGTGTGCTTCCGATCCCTGCCAAAATGGCGGAACCTGCATAGATGGACTTAATAAGTATTCGTGTGTCTGTCCAAGTGAATGGCAGGGCGTTAACTGTGAAATAGGTGAGTCATTCACATTCGTACCATTTGAACACAAAAACCAAGAACAACGGTAAATTTTGTATGCTTATGTTGAATTCAACGTGATGCAATGAAGAAAATAAAAACCACTGATCATGTGCTATTGACGTACGAGAGTCGTCGAAAATCTTATTCCAGTAGCATGCAAAGTACGAAAAATGACATACATGGTGTTTGTGTGTGTGTGTGTGTGTGTGTGTGTGTGTGTATGTTTGCGTGCGTGTGTGTGCATACATTTACGGCTCAAAGAGCCCCTCATTTATATGTAATTTAGCCTAAAAATTCCTAACGTTTTTTTTTAATCTCCTAATCGTTATTAGCAATATGAGATTCATAATTATATAGTAAACAATCTTGTTGTAGTGATGTACATGTTCATTGATTTCAAATCACACAGTCATGAGCATGGTTTCCGTAATAAACATTTTTACTAAAAAATACATAGATATCTGCACAGTAGATGACATTCTCCAGGGTTTATTTGTTTATCTGTGCATAACATGTTCTTTGTTTGCCAACAGATGTTAATGAGTGCCTCCGAGAAAAATGCCATCAGAACTCAGCCTGTAACAACTCACCGGGAAGCTACAGCTGCACATGCAGGGAAGGTTTCTATGGAAATGGCCTCACACTGGATAAGCTCGTGTGTAGAGGTAAAATAAGTTATAACAACCGTGTTTAAGTCTTTACAATATACAAGATATGTAAGAAAATGTCAAAGCAGGACACTTTCAAATTTTGATACCATGCAGAAATAAACGTGTAGGGGACAAAATATAAAGTTATTTTTTTTCAGGTATTTTAAAAAGAGAGAAGAAACGGGGTTTAACAGTATATGATAGATAGGTTGTCGCGTTGCTGTAACGTACTTAGCGCTAGAGTGTAACATTTCAGTGCCAACGCTATGTTTCATGTCCTCTAGACCACATATGATCACATGTGCCTTTAGCCAATCTGGGCATGAATATGCAATAAAGATCATTCAATGATAATTAATTAGCTGCGAACCAGTGCTTATTGCAGTGTTAATCTTGATCTAAAGGCATGGGGTTCGAATCTCAGTCTATGTGTTAAAACTGAAAATGTTGCTAATAAAAATAGAAAGTCAAAGCAGTCATCAGAGCAAATTGATCAAAAAATGATGTTGAATGACAAACTGTCGTTAACTCGTTAAAAATGGTAGACTGTTATAAATGCCTCTCAATAAATTAAGTTACCATATCAGTGATATGAATATTAGACTTTGTGTTTTGTTTCAGAAACTATCCTTTTCCCTTACGGTGAAGAACAAGGGAACATGTTGCTGCCTGACACAGACGACCGAAAGGACATCTCTCTGCCGTCTCTGATTGACATCAGTCTAGGGTTTCCCTTTTTTGGACAGTTCTACTACAGCCTTTATGTAAGATCACTTTTCTTCTCCAAGTCTAATACCACGTAGATCTATAGAACCTTGATTATGAATTCATTTGCTAAATTGTTTAGTAGATTTTTAAGTCTAAAAATTATCAAGGGTTTTGCGTGTTTCTTCCATAAAAGTATTTACGTAAATCTGGTTAATTCTTTTTAAGAAATTATTGAAATAAAGTGCCATAGTCACTATGTTCCTTAATAGGAAAGTATGAAAGAAATATGTGTAAAATATGTATAGATTTATTTGGACTTTAAATTATGTGAACTTTACATCTCTTATAACAGACCTTGCCTTACCCTTATCTCTTCAGTCATGTCTGTATTGAAAACCGGCCTGCAGACTGATTTGAGCTTCTAATGAATAAAGAATGACTCAAAGAAAAACACACAAACACATTCTCATAGACGGATAGGTAGATAGATACATATAAGTCGAATGTAGATATAGAAGTAAGGATGTCCTAACAAAAGGATAAAATGATTTTTCTCGATCCCTTTCTTTGCAGTTCTCCGATAACGGGTTGATAATATTCCCGCCGACGGCGCAGTCCCGTGCGCGGAGGGAACCCTACCCGAACCCCAGTCTGTTCAGGAGGAACCAGACCGTACAGGCAGGATTCCCTCCTATGGTAGCAGCGTCATGGGGAGATGTGGATCTCACAACGGACGTGGGGAAAGTCTGGTATCAGGTAAATGACAAACTGAAAAGGAAACTCTGCAGCATTAGAAGAAAACATTGTTTTACTCTTAGTATTATAATATTCTTAAGATCTTAAACCTTTAAATTGCTAACAAAGTTTAATGTAATTGGTATTTATCATCATATCATAGAACTATAAAGACATGTTATCTATCTTAGACGACCAGAATAATGCCTCATAACTAAAAAGACTTTTCTAATAGAAAAAAAATGTCGTGAAGCTGGAAATTACTGTATGCGTACATACAATGACTGATCCTCCCTTTTCCTACCAGGTGTATTCTAATGACAACCCAGTAGACAATGCCACACAGACAGTGTTTGACATGGTTACTACGAGGATGTACCAGTCCTTCAGCGACACGTTTGTGCCCACCTGGGTACTGGTTGTGACCTGGGACAGTGTACCCTCTGTCGAGGCAATGTACACAAAACAAAACGTAAGTCTAGCACCAACAGTCTAGTATTATGCGCAAATTATAGAAAACAACATATGATTGAAAACAGTAAAACTGGTAAAGATGTTACGAATGATTTTTTTTTTACTTTCAAGCTTAATTTAAGCATGTCTTTCAGTTAAGAAATTAATTTGTTCGTTGAGACGTTAGCTTTAACCCTAAATAGTACACCTGGGGTCCGCGCGGACCCCAGCACTATATATGCTGTAATATATTTTTTTTGTTTCTAAAGATTTTTTTTCTGAAATTTCAGGTAATTGTCACCCACAAAGTTGTCAATTTCCCCCATATTTAAAAAAATTTTATATCTGATTTTCTTTTGGGGTCCGCGCGGACCCCAGCCGTCTTTCGATCATAATGGCTACACTCGCGTTCTTATACATTACTTTATTTCCGTTTTCATATGTTTTTATGCACTTATCTTTTGGCCACCGATTTTTCATACAATGGTGTAATAATAGAATTAAATTCTAACAACTTTGGTGTAATTATGACGTCATATGACGTCAGAGCTAATGATATGGTCCGCCATTTTGGATTTTGACCAATGACGTCATCAACTTAGCAAATAGTATTAATATTAAATGATTTAACTTATCGTTAATTATGTAAGATGTTATTAATGTTAGAAAGGAACAGTTATTTAATATAAAACCCAGAAAATTTTAATGTTTCAACCAAAATTACTGATATTTCCCATAAAACTACCTGTCAGAAACCCGTTGCCATGGCAACACAAAAAATCATTAACTTATCTAACTAATATGAAGTTTTTTCCAGATACATTTTAGAAGTGTCCACCAAATTTCATGGTTCTAGGTGAAGTTGTGCGTAATGTGGACTCAGAGGTTCACACATCAATTTGCAAAGCAATTGAGCTGGTATCATGTTGATAATTTCTAAAAATTAGCAAAAAAACTGTCTTGGGGTCCGCGCGGACCCCAGGTGTACAGATTAATCAGTCCAGGAAGGTGTACTGTTGAGGGTTAAAAAGTCTAACGAGATACCTGTTATATGAGTTTTCAGTTCGCTTCTGAGTCTTGCACACTTTTATCAATGTTTTAAAATTCATGTTATAATAATGCATACACAACGAAGTTAAGCCAATAACATGTTCTATCACAGAAATAGATAAATATTATGTTTCTTCTTTTAGCCAAACACATTCCAAGCCGTCCTGGCCACCGATGGATCAGCTTCCGTCGCTTTCCTGACCTATAAGGAAGACGAGATGCTGTGGACCAATGAAACCCAGGACGTTCTTCTCGGGTACAACAGCGCTAACGGCGTCAACTTCGAAAACATCCGGCTGGCAGATCCGTACAGACCCGACCAAGTCAACGGGAACACGGGGCTGAAAGGACGATGGGCGTTTAAGTTGGAGAGCGATGCCACACGGAAAACGAACTACAAGAGGCTGTGTCGTGACTGGTACAAGACAGAGCCAGACCCTTCAGAGTGGATTGTAGGAGAAGGCCTGTGTCCTTGCACGCTACTTCAAGCACTAAAGGACCTACGCTTCGCCCCTGTTACATTGTCACCCTTTAACATCTCCCTATTGCTTCTGGGCAATCAAGGTGAATAAAATGTCATTTTTACATTCAGTACTGCTTAAAAGAAGAAAAAGTAATGTTAAAACATGGCATACAGACTCTCAGACTTTAGGCACTGATTTCGTAACGAGTGTTATATTCACTCACTCACTCACTCACTCACTCACTCACTCACTCACTCACTCACTCACTCACTCACTCACTCAGTCCTCTTGCACGATGTGCGTCGAGCCTACTAGGCGGGCCACCTCCCTCCATCTCGATCTGTCCTGGGCGAGCTTCTGCGCTTCTTCGGGGGTGATGCTGATCAGAGCCAGATCCTTGGCCAGGACGTCCGTCCAGCGGGTGCGGGGCCCCCCCGAGGTCTCTTCCACCCAGCGGACTGGGGGCTGAAGTTCAGGATACGTGGGGTGGTCGGGTGGGAGTGGTCGGGTGGGAGTCGTAGGACATGTACCAGCGCACTCGGCGCATCGCTGCCACACGGGAAGCAGGAGGCTGCTGGGTCCTTTGCCTGGGCCCAGTTTCAGGCAGGTGGTCGAACCAGCGTACTCCCAGAATCCTCCTGAGACATCTGCTGTCAAAGCCGTCGAGTCTAGCTGACAGAGTGTTGCTGAGTGGCCAGGTCTCAGCTCCGTACAGCAGGATTGAGACCACCGCGGCGTTGTAGACACGAAGCTTTGTGCCCAGCGAGATGTTTCTGTGCTTCCAGGGCGGTCTCCAGAGCGCCTACATAGCCGCTGCTGCTAGTCCACTCCGCCGGTCAATCTCGGGTTTCAGATCATCTGTCCTGGAGACTGTGGACCCGAGGTAGTTGAAGGTGGACACAAAGTTTACTGTGATGTTGTTAAAGCTGAACGGTGCAGGGTCAGGGCCATCCCCTATGTGCATCAACTCAGTTTTTGACCAGTTGATACTAAGGCCAAGCTTGGAGGCTTCTGCATCAAAAACTGCCAGGGCATCCCTGAGTCTTTGGGGAGTGTCGGCCAGCAAGGTCGTGTCGTCGGCGTACTCCAGATCCGCAAGACTGTATCCGCCAAAAGAGACTCCAGGGACGCACTCGGAGACCTTAAACATAAGGTAGTTGAAAAGGTTGAAAAGGTCGGGGGCAGCAACACAGCCCTGACGGACTCCGCTGTTGATCTGGAACCACTCTGAGTTCTTGTCGTTTACAAGAACGCAGCTTTCTTCATCGCTGTATAACAGCTGAAAGAGGGCGATGATCTTTGGAGAGACACCGATGGTAGTCAGTATCTTCCACAGGGAGGCATGGTCCACCGTGTCAAAGGCAGCACGCAGGTCGACGAAGGCGATGTACAGATGTCTGTCCTTCCTGTACTCGCGGGCCTTTTCAATGACTAGACGGAGGGCCGAGATGTGATCGATCGTGGATCTGTTGGGCATGAAGCCGGCCTGCTGTGGGCGTCTGCTGCACCGGATAACAGAGATTGCTCTAGCCAAGAGAATGCGGGTGAAAAGCTTGCCGGGGATGGAGAGGAGAGTAATACCTCTATGTTACTACAAACCAGCTGATCACCTTTCCTCTTCCAGAATGGTAGAATAATCCCTCGTCTCCAGTCCTCAGGAAGTCTCTCCTGGATCCACACATGGTTGATGATTTGGGTTAGCCACTTGACGATATGGTCTCCTCCGACCTTCAGCATCTCTGCTAGCGATCTTACAAATGCCGGGGGCTTTCCCATTCTTCAGCTTCCTTAGTGCGGTCCTAACCTCGTCTGGGGTGACAGGAGGGGTTGGAGAGTCCGTGTTGGGGCCGTCAACAGCATCAGCAGCATCCTTGAGGTCAGGGTCCTCAGGGACAGGAGGATGGTTTAAGAGCTGACTGAAATGTTCTCTCCAGCGGGTGATGCAGTCTTCTTCGCTGGACAAGATGTTACCTGCCGTGTCCTTTATGAGGGAACTGCGTCTTTGAGGACCGGCCTTCGCTCGGCGCAAGATACTGTACACCTGATGTTGGTCGTCGCGTTGCGCGGCTTCCTCCAGGCTCGTAGCTTGATCTGCCCATAAGGTTTCTCGGTCTCGACGGATTGCTGAGTTCCGCTCTCTGTTGAGGCGTCGGTACCCAGTCATGTCCCCACGAAGGCGTGCGGCTTTCCTGCAGTCAATGATGTGGGGAGTCTCGTGCGAGATCCACGGCTTTTTAGGGGCTGGTCTACTCCTTTCTACAGTTTCCTCTGCAGCCTTGAGAACTTCAGTTTTGAAGTTCTGCCAATCCGCTGTTTCGTCCTGCGTTAGGGCGCTGAATCTGTTGGAGATGGAGCACATGTACTTCTCTTGTATCAGAGGGTCGAGGAGCTGTGAGGTGACAATTCGGCGTTTCTTCTTGGCAGTGGGATCCGCCGTCAGCTTCATTCTCATATGGGCCACCAGAAGTCTGTGGTCTGTGTTGGCAAGTTGGGCACCACGGTAGACACGGCGGTTTGTGATGCACGATTTCCACCGTGCGGAGATGATAATGTGGTCGATGGCTTTCCTGGTTCTTCAATCCGGACTGTACCAGGTCCGGTGATGGATTCTCTTGCGTGGGAACAATGAGTCGGCTATACTCATGTTGGTAGCACGACAGAGGTCGAGCAGGCGGCTGCCGTTGTCATTCGTGGACGGGTCAGCAGATATCGGGCCTAGCACGTTCTGTGAGGATGCGCTCCTTGAGGCTTGACAGAGGGTCGCCAGACGCCAGACTGAGGAGCGACGTCAGTCGGTCCATACGCTACAATGACCGTCATCTTACCATATGCTATTGTCAAATTAAACGTATTCGTGTTACACAGTCGAAAATATATTGTATAAAATGGAAAATTTGCACGGTATATAAGTATATGTTGTGTGAGGACTCATTTTGATGTCCCTACCGGCAAAATGAGAAGTTCACACGTCAATGATAGCTTGGCATTTAGCGGTTAGAGTCGTTAGACCAATGAAAGTTTGTCTGAATGCCCGTTGAATATTCGAATTTTTATGTTAAAAATGTCAATTTCTTCGTTTTCGTGAAGGTTATTACTGCATCTTCATGATAACTTGTTTTCATTCTTAGATCAGGAAGTTTGCTTCAGTCCTCTGTTTGCCAGCCCGACTGGTTCCAGTGTAGACTGTTGTTACAAGTTCCTAGCCCTGAACACTGAGATACCCCTGGCTGGAAGTCACCACAGATATCAACGGTTCTCCCAACTGCACACTGGTATTTCAATTATAAACATTTTGTTGGACTAAACTCCATTTACGGCATGATACACTGAGGAGTTTGCTTGTTTGTTGCATGAACCAGATTCTACCAAATTTGATATATAAGTCTATAACAACACTGGTGCACAATTACATAGGAACGACACCACGAGTTCTAAGTAAGGAAAGGTAAAAGTTGACATTTATCACATCGGGCCTGTGATTGGCCTGTGTGCACGTACAAACCACGTGGGCATTTCGAGTCACAAAATTTCCATTAGGAATGTGCCCCCCAACCCCCCAACGCCGGACAAAGTTGAGTGACATTGGCCCAGCCTAAACTCCCCCATATCTGTTTCCTGTTTTTGTGAATTCAATTGAATTAAGAATATACACATGCTTGAAAATAATCCTTTTCTTTCAGACTTTGACGTGAATCCCAAGTCCTGGTGCTGTAGCCTGTCTGACGATGAAGACTTCTGTAACCTGTACTTTGGAAAGAGGCCTCCAAACAGCTGTTCTTTTTACAGGCCACCACGTCTAGGTACGCCTTACAGGAGCACTGCATTTTTATAACCAGTTTTATGATGGTGTAGGGTAGCTAATATTTAAGCAATCAGCACAATTGATATTTCTTTATCATAAATCTGTTCTGTTTTCCAGAACGTTTCCTATATTAATATAGCCTGGGTACCATCCTACTTGTATACCGGGGCTCCCACACTCGCTTCCCTAAGAAGTAGTCTGGAAATGGTTAGATCTGAACAGTCTGGCTCGGTAAGATTTTGCCCGAGTGTGCTGATTGGTCCTTCCTGTCTTGTTCATTAGCCTAACGTCCTTCTCAGTATGTGGTGATGCTTATCTCCTGCCTGCTCAGCAGGTATCACTGACCAAGGAAAGGTTTGTTTATTTATCTTGGACGGAGTGTAGTAGCCATTGAGAGACACTGTTGTCATGATTTTGCTAACATTTAAGTAACAGAGCCACAATGAACATCTTGCTTAAAGAAAACTACAAGAAATTGTTGTACTCAAGGTAAATTTGTGGCTGTACTTGTCATACATAAGCAACAACTTTTTTGCCCTTACCAAAACAGCACATGGCCATGTGGACCTTGTACTGATGGGTCATCTACTAGTGGAAGAGGCTCCGCCCAGCCCTCCCCATGTGGCCTACCTCATTATGTGATATCATCACCAAGCCAAATAGATACAAGCGTTTCCAGACTACTTCTTAGGGAAGCGAGTGTGGGAGCCCCGGCATACAAGTAGGATGGTACCCAGGCTAATATTAATATGTTGTCAACTTTGAATCTATACATAATTAGACATAATTTTTTCTCTGCTCTTGCTTATGTGGTATTGTTATAATTATTATTATTACTCCGTGAAGGAGGTCAGGACCTCCGGACGGAGTGTTGTGATCGGCTGATTTTTCATGTTCGCTGTCAAAACACTGGGTTCTCTTTGTGTAATCGGTACGCAATTTTATACGCCGTCTGCGGGCATGCCCGTGTTGATGCACGAATGTGTATTTTTGCCGTTGCTGCTTTCGCGGTCAATGTAATATCGCAGACGCACCCCTACAATTACGAGGCGAATTGGAATGGTCCAGAAAAACGCGTTGTTTGGAATAGCAGTGGGGGGGGTAAAAGTTCATGCAGATACAGGGTGGTTTTTATAAGTGGTTCCAGATGTTTTTGCCCATGGTTAAGAGATGCCAAGTTTTTTGGAAGATGTTCGCAGCCAAAACGCATTCTTCCGTACGTCGCATTTCTGTGTAATTTCGCATGTGGTGTTGCATTATGTCCGGGATGATGCACGTCTTTTTATTTTTACCGTAGCTGTTTTGATATTGAAGTAAATGCATATTTTAGAAACATCCCTACTTTTACAATCCTGTGGAATAGGCCGTAGGTTTAGGCAGTTGTCTGGAAGCAGAGGTTCTGTAAGCAGATATCCTGGTTATCTGGCCGGCGGTAGTAACACTCGCGGTGCTTACCGCAACTCTTGCTGGAATTTGGCCTGTTCCAGGCGCGCCTAATTAGGTACAGGCACGGTAAGGGACTGTACGATATTTACCGGGAGGAGGGCTGGTGCGCTGGAAGTCCGGTCAAAACTTTTTCCATGACCCTGACCCCCAATTTCAAAATTTTTCCTTGGCCCTCCCCCCTCATCTCAAAAATTTTTCCATGGCCCTCCCCCTACAGGTACCCGTAATTTCCCGAATATAGTACACATCCCGATTAAAGTACGCACACCCCGATTTGGGGCTGGTGGGAGACAAATATTCCCGTCTGAAACGTAAAATGGAAAAACTCGAATAAAATACGCCCCCCTTGTACGCACGGCCGGTGCCACTGTGGACCTGTATGTATGTCTTATTAATAAAAGACAGTTCGTTCTAGAAAAAAAAGCTGTTTAAAAATAGATTTAGGCCGTGTACTACGGTGTTGTGTGGAACTGGTTACAGTATTGTAGCGGGAAACGTTTGGTGTTGGGGCTAGTTTCACCGCTGGCCGCAGCCGATTTGCAAGACGTCACCACCGCATCGAAGGATAATGCGAGTGCGGCGAAACGTACAGCTTTGGATCCCGGAGAATGTTGGTGATCAAGCAACGGCCAACAAAGATTTGTGAAAAAAACAAACAATATTCCAATATTTGTTTTATCTGTAACCGGGGGTAGCTGAATGTTGATGCAGAAGTATGTAGCTTTGTTGTTCTTTACTGTACGAAATGCACCGAACACTTCTTTAATAGCGCCCGCCCATCGACCCAAGGGGAGCAAACAATCGTCGAGGCGGAGATCTGGGCTGAGTAGTGATGCTACTGTGGGTGTAGAAGTGCTACTAAATTAAAAATTTGACACCGAAACTAAAGCAACAACAAAAGGCTACTGGGACTTGCGATTCCGAACAGGAGAGAGTGAAATGTCTGACTGCGTTTGAAATAATCTCTCGTAATGTGAGATATGTTTTTGTCACAAAATCAAAGAGATGTACACTTCAAATATGTATAAGTTTGCACTCCGTAAAACCTATATGTAACGTTACAGTCTGTTCAGAGGAAAGAAATACTTCCTTTTCGGGGCCCAGGTTCTGGAAAGCTGTCCTCAGCGCTGCCACGACCCTTTCTTCGTTTTTCAGTTGTAGGTGTACTTTGGGGAATTAGAGTTCGGCGTGAACAAGAGAACGGACGTTGCATGATTCAAAGTTTATTTACGCCCTTATTCACGCCGATCACACTTAAGTACGTGCACGTGGCTTCCCGGTCTAGTTGGGGTACTTCATGCAATGCCAAGGCAACGGCACGAACACTGGCGCCACGCCTGTCGGCGCGTACAGACTGGACCCGCCCACCGGCCGGCGGTAAGATTTCATTATTTATTATTAAAGACTACATTTTATAACCCCGCCCCTATCATTGTAGTTTGTAACAGCCGGGTAGAAGTACATCTAGCTGGCATTTTCACGTCGTGCATGGCAGCTATAGCCCGCTACAAAGTGGCATTTATCAAGATTCAAAAAGATTTGTGATACGAAATGAAACATGGCTAACAATTTCTGTTAGTTAGCTAAACCTTTGAAACGGCATGGGCATAATCTTTGTTGAATATTTCTGAGTTCAACTCAAGCCGGAAGTGCATTAGAAGTGACCATCAGGTACAACTATTACGCTATCATATGTTACGTTACGACGATCAAGAACGTTCATGGCTTGCGGATCCGATTGATTTCAAATATTACTACTCATAAACCATCTTGCAATATTGTATATGTACTTACGTTTTTTTTTTTTTTTTTAATTTTCGGCGGGGGTCCACTGAGATTGGCACCGACAGGCTGACGAACGATCCGGTCGGCATGACAAAGCGCCAAACGCCATTCAGTGACCTACATTTTCTTACCGTGCACTGCTTGACTTGACTTCTTTTACCGGAACTTGGTGTAAATATCGACGATAGTCAGAGGAAATATGTTCATTTATTGAAGGTTAACTTTATTTCCACTCGTCCATATTGTTATCTAAACATGCTAGGGACGAATTCGTTCCAAGCTCCCCGTGCCGGTGTTCCGCTATATTCCTGGGTCGTCCACAGATTTGGGAAAATCTCAAATAAAGTACGCACCCCGACTTTGGCGACGGCCCGAGGCACTTTGGGGATTTTGAAAAGTTTAAGAAGTACGTACATTAGTCGGGAATTTACGGTA